AAAAAGATGCATATGAATATAATGAAAGATTATTCTATAAATAATTTAAATCTTTTTATCTACCAAAAATGAACCCATACCTGATTCTGGTGTTCTGACAATGGTACTATCAATATAACCTGCTTCAGTTGTAACAGCTGAGACTTCGAAAAGATATGTCGTATAAGGTCTCAAATGTGTCACTACAAAACTGATAGGCTCTTTCCACACAGAGCTGATCTTACTCCGTGCCAACGTGCTGGATGAATATGTGGTACGCGACGGAGGTGTAACTCTACCAAGAGTTGGAGAAGGGCTGGTTGTACTCCATAAAAAAGATTCATTATTCTCCTAGTAAATAAAATAAATATAAATGGAAAAATAATGTATGTCTTGGTGAACATGAGAAGTGTGGTTCATTTCTTTTTCCTTTATGCTATAAATATTATTCTTCAATTGTGTATGTGCTTGTGTGTGTTAGTACTATAATATTATAACAGAATAAATTATGGACAAATTTCCTAGATTTTAATTATACACATATATGCTATATAGTTTTAGAACAGAATATATTTATTGTATTCTTTATATCTTAATCTTTATGAGTAGGATTTCAAGAGGCTTAAAATATAGGCACAACTATAGAAAAATCACTAGTTAGAATTTTTAAAATTCATATTAATAGTTCAAGAGCCAAAGAACTAAAATAATTTTACTTTTATGAAATTTCAAGCATAGCTCATTTTCTTCCTATTACCATCATTTTTTTTTCATCAGTACTCAAAGGATAATGCCACTAGCACACGTGTTAGGTGTGAGTGTATGTGTACATGTGTGTGAATGTGTGTGTTAGAAATATATCCTAATTTGAAAAAGAATATTTTGAGACCACCATAAATTAAACTATTTAAAACAAAAATAATTGTTTGACTGTTTTTCCATCAATAATAACACACAGATTGCCAAAATAATTTTAGGCAAAGTGTTAGTATAGTACTTCCAGAGTTTCTCATCAATGACTAGAGTAACAACAAATTCTTTACCAAAGATATGTACACAAAAAAATCTACCTCTGCAAATTTAACTTTGCCTATTCAACCTACATTTACCCTCCCTTCCTGTCACTTGGAATTATTATTTTTCTCCAGTTATACCTTACAGTTTTCGACCTCAGGGGTTTATAAAGTATCCTCCACCCCAAATGCTGCCCTCACACTATCTCCACCCATCCTTCCTCTGGTCTATCGTGAATGCTCCTTCTTTTATGGAGTCTTTCTGGAGCTCCCTAATTGAAGCTCACTCTCACTCTTGAATTCCCAAAACCCTCCTGTAGTCTACCTGAATAAAGCCAATTGTATATATACTGTATATGTATATACAGT